ATTTGGGTTTGTCTGATAGGTTTCTCATGTTTAGAATGGGCTGTGAGTCCCCGGGTGGTGTGAAGAGTTAAACAGTTAGCGTGCACTCAGCTGCCAACCAAAAGGTTGGAGGTTGGAGTCCACCCAAAGTCGTCTTTGAAAAAAGCCCTGGCAATCTACTTCTGAAAAATGAGTTGTTCAAAACCCTATGTAGCACAGTTCTACTCTGATACCCATGAGGTCACCATGAGTTGGAATTGACTCCATGACAGCTGCCTTTTTAGACTAGGGTTATAGGTTTTGGGGAGGAACGCCCCAGAGGTAAAGTGAATCATCACAGCATATCAAGGGTACCATTATCAGTGACTTATCATTGCTGATGTTGACCTTGATCACCTGGCCAAGGGAGTGTAGCCAGGTCTCTCCACTGTAAAATTATTCCAGAAAACATTTTTGATAAATTAAATGATTTGAGTAGGTAGCTCACAGGTAAGAGAACTTCTGCTGTATTTTGTGTGATTGTTATAACAGGGTGGTTTACTACACTGAAATGGGAACAGGTGCAAAAAGCTAAATTCTTTCAACCACACTCTCCATGATAGAGCTAGGTAGTTTTACCTCTTTACTAGAACTTTGTGACTAGCTAAAGAAGTACACCTGAAGTCATCTTGGCACTGCTACTGAATTCTAATTTTTCTGTCTTGTTTTCATGTTTCTTGAGCTTTAATAGTTAACTGAAGTAAAGATAGGCTCTAAATCTTTTGGGGGGGCGGCATTTTTTTTTAATAATGTTTTATTTTGTTTTCAGTGAAGGTTTACACAGCAGTTTAGGTTCTCTTTCAACAATTTCTACACCAGTTGTTCAGTGATATTGGTTACGTTCTTCACAATGCATGAACATTCTCAATATTTCCATTCTGGTTGTTCTGTTTCCATTAATCTAGTTTCCCTGCCCCCTTACATCCTCATCTTTGTTTTAAAGTAACTGTTGACCATTTGGTCTCGTACAGATGATTTTTTTTGTACTTCAGGTGAAGGCTTACAGAACAAATAGTTTCTCATGAAACAGTAGTACACATGTTGTTTTATGACATTGGTTAACAACCCCACAACATATCAACCCTCTAACTTCTCAACCTTTTTTTTGGTGAAAATACACATAGCCAAAGATACACCGTTTCAAAAATTTCTACATGCACAGTTCAGTGACATTGACTACGCTCTTCCAATTGTGCTGTTATTCTCACTTAAGATGAAGGCTTACAGAACAAAATAGTTTCTCATTTAACAGTTACTACAAATGTTGCCCTATGACAATGGTTAACAATCTTACAACACATCAACAATATCCTTACTCAACCTTGGGTTCCCTATCACCAGCTTCCTTATCCCTTTCTGCCTTCTGGCCCTTGTCACTGGACTCCTGTACCTCGTTAGTCTCATTTGGTTTTACGGGGCTGTCTACTCCCAGGCTGAACAGTGAACCTCAGAGGTAACTTCACCACTGAGCTAAAAGGGTGTCTGGGGGCCATATTCTCGAGGTTTCTGCAGTCTCCTTTAGGCCAGTAAATCTGGTCTTTTTTTTGTGAGTTAGAATTATGTTCTACAACCTTCTCCAGCTCTGTCCAGAACCCTCTTCATACAGATGATTTTTTAAAGGAACACAGTACTCACGGGTGATATTCTTTATATTTTTGAGCCAATCTGTTATTCAGCTGGAAGATTATATCAGAGACTAATTTTGTTTCAAGTTTTAAAGAGTATCTCAGGGCAAAAGTTCTGGGGAGTCCTCCAGTCTCAACTGGTCCAGTAAATATGATTTTTTTAGGAATTTGAGTTTCTCTTCCACATTTTTCTGCCATTCTTTCAGGGTCCATCTGTTGTGGCCCTGATCAGAATGGTCAGTAGTGGTAGCCAAACACCGTTTAATTCCTCTGGTCTCAGGGTAGATTAAGCCGTCGTTCATGTAGACTATTAGTCCTGTAGACTAGTTTCTTCCTTGAGCCTTTGTTTTCCTTCCACCTCTTTTGCTCCAGATGAGTAGAGACCAATAGTTGTATCTTAGTTGGCTGCTCACATGCTTTTATGACCCCAGACAGTACTCACCAAACTAGGATGTAGAACATAACTTTATGAACTATCTTATGCTAGTTGACAGAGATATCCCACGGGACTGTGGTACTAAGCCTTCAAACTCAGAAAACCAATCCTGTGAGGTGTTTATGTCTAAGAAGCATCTGTACTTGTGCCCCCAGATGTTTTATTATACATATGAACGTAAGTGCTTACAGTCACATACATGCATATACATTTACATACACCTAAATATGCACACACATTTACTCACATATGCATACCTATACACATGTATGTCTACATACATACATATATATATATATATATACCTGCACATAAGTTTTTTGGTTATTGTTGCTGTGGTTTCAAAATTATATACGTCATAGCAATTCCCAAAAGATCCTTTTTTCTTGTGTACATTTTAATGACATCATTTACCTTTGCCAGGCTGTGCACACTTCGCCCTCATTCAGTGTTACCTTTTTCATCACTAATGGAGAAGTGATTTCGATGGACAAATAGTACTATGGTTGCATAATTGTGCATCTACTGTTGCATGATCAGGATTTCTTGCTCAAGACTAAATATTCGACTGTTTGTTCAGTTTTATTTGAATCTCTGGTTAGCATTTTGATGGCAATTTAAATTTTTTCTTACTACTCTGGAGTGCTTTTAGCAAAAATTTGTTTGACAATTGCCTTCGAGCATATGAGTGGATGTCCAAGGCCAATTAAGCATTGATTAGTCCGTAGCTCCATACTGCAGACCACACTTAAGATAGAAAGTGATTCCACTATGGTGTCAAGAGGTGTTTTGTGCCATTTACCTAAGAATATCCCATAATAAAAACTCCAATAGTCCATGATCTTATACTTTACAATAGTTGCACAAAACCCAAGAAGCAGTCTTTTTATAAAGAACCAGACTCCTACACCATGTCAATCTATTAGAAAACATTTTAATATAGAACTTGAAGAGATCTCTAAAGCTCAGAGATCACCTGTTGTCTTTGGGCGTCTAGCAGACACCATGAGAATGTTGTACAAACTTCCCTTTTTCTAAATTTCTATGAAGGGGATGTGAAAACTTTTCATTTTAGAGTTGAAATTCATTGACCTTTCTTAAATAGCGGTGGTTTTCTAACCTTCAGAAAGGAACAGGAACAGTGGTCCAGATAATTTATCCTACCTTATCAATATGAAATGAAAATAAGACTGAGGCCCATTCTTTTCATGGTTTTCTCTTCTCTAGCTCAAATGGACTTCATTTTTCAGCTCTGTCTTGTCTGAATATGGAACTAGTGCATATATTTCTGTACTATCTCCATCACGTAGTGAACTTAACCTTGACCTACTGAGAGCTGTAAATGGATTTCTGCCTATTCAGGCATTATTTTACTGCTCCTACGTTGTTGCTTTGGTGCTCTGCCCATTGTCAAGGTGTTTGCTTAGACTAATAACGTAGGTCGTATGAAGCAACCTATGAGAACAGCATGGCACTGTGAAAACATCTTTGGGTGGGGGAATCAAAAGACTTGGCTTTATGTTTCTCTCTGTCACTTCTAATTCCTTGACCCTGGACAAGATCCTAACCTTTGACTCTCAGTTTCCTGGGGCATGATGAGAGGACAATAATAACTGCCTTACCTACCTCTAGAAAGGTGGTTTTAGGATCCACAGGATATAGTAGTGCAAATGTATTATAAACCACACAGTACTGTACAAATAAAAGGAAAAGAAAGAATTGATGGCCACTAAAGAGCCCTGATGGCGTGGTTGTTAAGAGCTAAGGCTGCTAACCAAAAGTTCGGCAGTTCGAATCCACCAGCTGCTCCTTGGAAACCCTATGGGGCAGTTCTACTCTGTCCTATAGGGTCACTATGAGTCAAAATTGACTTCATGGCAATTGGTTTGGTTTTTTTGGTTTTTAGAAATGTAGACGTTGAGCAACATGATATTTAGGGTTCTTTCTGGTTCTAAAATCCTATGCATAGCCAAATTAATCAATCAATTACTTGTTAAAGTAATCCATAGACTAATGGGGGAAAATAACCCAATAAAAATAGATATTTTAAAATATTTTTGAATAATAATGTGTTCACATTCATTTCAGCTTGCAAGATGAGAACAATTACACAGAGATTACTCTGTGCCAGATAGTATCCTAAGTTGGCTTCTTCTACCTTATAAGGCAGATAAGGAAGTCAAGACACAGAGAGAAGAAATGACTTAACAGGGTTCATACAGCTAGTTTTGAGGGAGCCAGGATGTGGATAAAGGCAGTATGACTATAAGTATTTTTTTTAAATTAAATTAGGGAGAAGTCACTAAGAGAATCGATGAAAAAACAAACAAAAAACTATTATGGCAATTGGAAAAGTAGTGGGAGTGAAATAGGAGGGGGACAAACACTAGTTATAACCCAGTAAATGCTCAAATATTCAAACATAAATGACAAAGTACAAGACAAAGGAATGCCAAGGGATTAAAGAAATATCCATCGAGTTAATATTTGGAATGTATTTATTTTTAAAGTTAGTGTTAGTATTGTGAATATTTTTTAAAAATTTTAAAGAAGGTAACTTTAATAGTTAACCTAATCATATTCAGGAAGCAAGTTTTTTTTTTCTATCTACTTTGGGAGAAAAACCAATGCAAAACAAGATTAAACAGTGGAGAAAAAGACTATTATTTTAAGAAAACTATTTTTTTAAAGTTAATAGGAAAGATATTTGATCATATTTGCGTAAATATGTTTTCTCATAGACTTTGATACTTGAGTTGTTTTACCAGGTAATTGGCCAGTATATGCCATAAGATTTTAACTGAAAAAACCACTTGTGTTATGATTACATAAACATGGCTATGTTCCATTAGTTGATCGTTCTTTTTCTGGTATTTGTGGCTGTTGAGTGTATATTTATTTATTAATTTTTAATCTTTCAGGTTTCAGGTTTTTAGTTCTACATTTCTCTCCCCGAATACTCATGAAAAATTGCTGTACCTATGACAGGTTGCATGACTTTTCCCCCCCCTCTGTGCGCTCAGTTTGGGTATTATTGTATCATATGACATTTTGAATCAAGTGCTGCTAGTACCAAGCTGCTATTACCAGCTGATGCCAAAAATATTCATTATAACACTTCTCAGCATGCGAATGAGAGCACTTCAGATCACCAGGACAGAATTTCCCACCATTGTTCTTTTCTTTGTGTATATTCTACGACACAAAGAAAGCAAAACAAAGAGGATTTATTAAAAAATAGCACCTTGGTAAAATGTTGTAAAACATGTGATTCATTATTTGTGAAGGTCATGTGAAATTAAGCACTGCATTATAGATTCCATCTCAAAGGCCTTGTTTTTCTTCTTCTTTTCTCTTTTCCCAAGTGTTTTTCAAGTGATATCTTTCTGCTTTTTTCAGTCTTTGATTGTATCGAGGTGCACACTATTTATACATTTGGAAATAAGCAATACCTTCAATAGAGAAAACATGAAATGACGTGTGCAGTCTCTATATGTCTTAAGATATTTTACTCCTTTACGTTGATCTGCTCATCAGGACATAAGCGGTACCCACGGTGGCAACCAGGAGAACAAAAGTCTTTATTCTTTAAAGGCAGACAATTAAAAAACAAATGCAATAAGTAAGGCTTCTCATTTTCTAACGTTGAGAGTGCTGAGCCTGCAACTATCATCAAATTTTATATATATATATATATATATATAAATTAATTCATTTTACAAAGTGAACTCTGAGACTTGGAAGCCAACTGACAAGATGCCAGAAAATGGCATGGTAAAGGAAAGAGTCTTCCGTGGCAGTTTTCAACACCTGACCACACTTATTGTCTCTTCTGGTGCAAGAAACACAGATCCTGTTGGTTGGGAGATGGGAGTGAGGGGTGCGTACCAGGGATGGCAGAGTGGGATTGGCCAGATGGTTGCACAATTTGCTGATTCTTCTTCTACTCTCTGAAAACTGGGAGTTAATAATCTTGTTTCCCTTCTTCAGTGACCCCTGACAGACCATGAGCAAAGGGCTGGAATTGGGCAAAGTTCGTTTTCATCTCAGCATTATGAGTATAGGGAACCCTGGTGGCGCAGTTGTTAAGAACTCAGCCGCTAACCAACAGGTCAGCAGTTCAAATCTACCAGCCACTCCTTGGAAACCCTATGGGGCAGTTCTACTCTGTCCTATAGGGTCACTATGAGTCAGGATATATATACCAGTTGCTCCTTAAATCCATGGTTCCTGCACGAAGTGATGTGACCTCTGTCTAATAGAGCGGACCAAATATCATGTGTTGACTAGAAAGAAATCAAGGACATTCCTATGGTCTACTGTGTTGAAAAGAGATGCCACAAACACCGCTTGGTTCTTTGATGTCTTTTGCTCCTTTACCTGCCCTGCTGTTTAAAAGGGTTGGCTCCATGCTATTAAAAACTGTATCCTACAGAGATGTTTCTCACTGTGCTGAGTCTCAAGCCCATATAGGTGAAGTGATTTCTTTTGTCTGGTGTATAATGTTTTGCTAACTTTTGACTTGGGAAATCACAAAGTCTTTCCAAAGCCTTCAAGGAAAAGCTAAGAATTTGTACTTATGGAGCACCAAGGAGGTTTCTGACACTGTAGCAAATGCTTTATATGTATGAAAGCCCAGAACAAGATGATGTGAATGTATATGCTGTTAAAAAGACTAATAATATAGTCTTGTCCGTGGATGCTGTTTAGAATACTGAAATACCGACCTCGCATTTTCCTGTTACACTTGAAATTCTAGAAGATAGTATCCTAAAAGATTTACCCTCAAGAAAAACAATACATTTAAATCCCTTGCTTTAAAAATGCTTTGAATTTCCCACATTTATTTTCTCTAGTGCATATATTAGAAAACGTTTGGCAGATAAAATCAGACTTCTTCTAAAACCTCTATGTTTTTTTACAATTCATCCAAATTCATGAAAATCAGTCCTTTTATTAACAACGACAACAAAGCCCACAAAACTTAGGCTTTTATGAATGGACTACCATCAACCCATTGTCAAAAATCTATCAGTGAATTTCTAGTGTGATAAAGGACAAAAGATTGGGAAGGCTAGTTTAGTATTTTCCATTGATTCATGTTAAATTATTAAGTACAAGCCAGAAGAGCTAATTTTCACTAGCTCTGGTCAGCTGGCCATTCTGTAACATTTGGGGTTGGGTGAGGTGGAGCCGGTGTCCCAGACAAGGTCAGATCTAATACAGATAACTGTAGAGTCAGCATTAATGTGCTGACTCATTACAATAACTCGGAAGCATTTCTATCCCTTTTAAAAATGCTTCCAAGTTTTGTAGATAAAGTCAAATGTGTATCATATGGGGCAAACAGGAGTGATGCCTGAGATTCTACAGTCCCTTTCATGGTGGAATGAAATCAGAACATCCCAGGAGTTGAGGCAGACATTCAGACACCTTCCCTAGGACTTGTTGAATCACTTCAGGGGCACAGTATTGCTGGTTTCTGAACTCTATCTATTTTGCCGGCCTTATCTCTAGGATTCCATTTTATTCAGATTAAGTCCTTGAAATTTTCCCCACTATAGCTTGGTATCAGGAGGGGTCTCTCAGTTTTCTGTATGGTGATTACCTGGTCCTAAAAAAATTTTATTTAATCAACCTACATACTTTAATTTTATATATTTATTTATTTACTTTCCAACACTCGTCTGTCAGTGTGTCCTACTCTGGTGGCTTGCATGTTGCTGTGATGCTGGAAGCTGTGCCACTGGTATTTCAAATACCAGCAGGGCCACCCATGGTGGACATGTTATAGTGGAACTTCCAGACTAAAACAGACTGGGAAGAAGGACCTGGTGATCTACTTCTGAAAAAATTGGCCACTGAAAACCTTATGAATAAGCAGTGGAACATTGTCTGACATAGTGCCAGAAGATGAGCCCCTCAGGTTGGAAGGCACTCAAAATATGACTGGAGAAGAGCTGCCTTCTCAAAGTGGAGTCGATCTTAATGACGTGCATGGAGTCAAGCTTTCAGGAACTTCATTTGCTGATGTGGCACCGCTCAAAGTGAGAAGAAACAGCTGCAAACATCCATTAATAATCGGAATGTGGAATGTATGAAGTAGGAATCAAGGAAAGTTGGAAGTTGTAAAAGCTGAAATTGGTATCCCAGGGATTAGTGAGCTGAAATGGACTAGTATTAGCCATTTTGAATTGGACAATCATATGATCTACTACTCTGGGAAAGACAAAGTGAAGAGGAACATGTTGCATTCATCGTCAAAAAGAACACTTGAAGATCTGTCCTGAAGCACAGTGCTGTTAGTGCTAGGATAATATCCATATGACTACAAGGAAGACCAGTTAATATGACTGTTATTCAAATTTATGCACCGACCACTAATGCCAAAGATGAGAAAATTGAAGATTACCAACTTCTGCAGTCTGAAAATGAACAAACATATAATCAAGATTCATTGATTATTACTGGTGATTGGAATAGGAAAGTTGGAAAAGAAGAAAGATCAGTAGTTGGAAAATATGGCCTTGGTGATAGACATGACATCAGAGATTGCATGATAAAAGTTTGCAAGACCAACAACTTCTTCATTGCAAATACCTTTTTTCAACAACATGAACAGTGACTATACACATGAACCTCCCCAGATGAAATACACAGGATTCTAATCAACTACATCTGTGGAAAGAGATGGTAGAGAAGTGCAATATCATCAGTGAGAACAAGACCAGGGGCTGACTGCATAACAGATCATCAATTGCTCATATACAAGTTCAAGGTGAAGCTGAAGAAAATGAAAACAAGTCCACTAGAGGCACCTTGAGTATACCCAACCTGAATTTAGAGACCATCTGAAGAATCGATTTGATTCATTGAACAATAATGACTGAAGACCAGATGAGTCGTGGGATGACGTCAAAGACATCATACATGAAAATAGCAACATTAAAAAGGCAGGAAAAAAAAAAAAAAAGACCAGAATGTTTGTCAGAAGAAACTCCGAAACTTGCTCCTGAATGTAGAGGAGATAAAGCGAAAGGAAGAAATGATGAAGTTAAAGAGCTGAACAGATTTCAAAGGGCGGCTTGAGAAGACAAAGTAAGGTATTATAATGAAAACTGCAAACACCTGGAGTTAGAAAACCAAAAAGGAAGAACATGCTCTGCATTTCTCAAGCCGAAAGAACTGAAGGAAAAGTTCAAGCTTTGAGTTGCAATATTGAAGGATTCTATGAGCAAAAAATTGAACGATGCAGGAAGCATCAAAAGATGATGGAAGGAATACATAGAGTAACTGTACCACAAAGTATTGGTTGATGTTCAGCCATTTCAGGAGGTAGCATAGGATCAAGAACAGATGGTACTGAAGGAAGAAGTCCAAGCTGCACTGAAGGAATTGGCAAAAAACAAGTCTCCAGGAATTGACGGAATACCAGTTGAGACGGGATGCAATGCTGGAAGTGCTCATGCCAAGAAATTTGGAAGACGTCTTCCTGGCCAACCTGGAAGAGATCCATGTATGTGCCTATTCCAAAGAAAGGTGATCCAACGGAATGCCGAAATTACCAAACAATATCATTAATATCACATGCAAGTAAAATTATGCTGAAGATAATTCAAAAATGGTTACGACAGTACACTGTAACAGGGAGCTGCCAGAAATTCAAACTGGATTCATAGAAGAGGACAAGGAGCTAGGGATATCATTGCTGATGTCAGATGGATCTTGGCTGACAGCAGAGAATACTAGATAGATGTTACCCGTGTTTTGTTGACTATGCAAAGGCATTTGACTGTGTGGATCATACAAATTATGGATAACACTGCCAAGAATGAGAATTCCAGAACACTTAATTGTGCTCATGTGGAACCTAGACATAGATTAAGAGGCAGTCATTTGAGCAGAACAAAGGGATACTGCAAGGTTTAGAATCCGGAAAGGTGTATGTCAGGATTGTATCCTTTCACCATACTTATTCATTTTGTACG